TTTTTCTGCCCGATTGTATACGGCGGGGACCACCGTAAGGTTCCGTTGGTCGGTCCGCTGACCTCATTTTCCCCTTCGCTTTTTCTTTACTTTAATCCCACGGCGTTTAAATTAAATCAATTTTCAATTTCTCTCTCTCTTTTTTATTTTTTAATAAAAAAGTTTAATCTATTAAAATATTCGTTGAAACGAGGAGAAAGAGGGGCCTCTCCTACTTCTGTCTCCCTCTTCTCCAACCTCTCATTAAAAAATAAAATTAAAAATAAAAAATTATTTGTTAACTTTATTATTAGGAAAAGAAAAAAAGAAATACTTGAGTTTTGTATAGAAGGGAGTAGGAGAGTATTCTATATTTATTGTTTATTCACAAACTTGTCTTTATTTGCTTTAAGCCAATGTGTATAGAAAAAAAAAAAGAAATAAAAGAATGGAGTTTTGACCAAAGTTCTTTTTCTTTTTTAAAAAATAAAATGCTGTCTCGGTATTCGGACAGTTCAATTCAATGAATGTATTCAATTTCAACCATATTTGTTTCCTTTTTCTTTTTCCTCGTATTTAATTTCAATATTACAAAAGCACTGAAAATTAAAAAAAAAAAAAAAGAAAGAGGAAAATTACCAAAGACTTTCTGTTTGGATTCAATGACTTGGATGATTTTACTACTTTTGTTAGATTGGGTAGGGGTAGATTTTTATTTATTTATTATTGATAGGGCATTGGTAGATGGTTGGGTGGGAGAGGTTGGTTTCTAGAACCTAATTAATTATTGGAGGAATATGAAGAAATAAATAAATATAATGAAGTGGGTAAGAATTATATTATAACTCACCTCTTTGAGCAAATTTTCTCTCTCCACCCATTTGTATGTTCTCGCATTCAAAAGAATAATATGAGTTTTCACCTCTTTCTATATGTGTGTATATATATTTCTTTTATTCTCGATTGCGACATGAAAATATTTACTTTTAATAATGATGAAGTATATGTGATCATTAGAATTTTAATTTGTAATCGGATAATTTTTATAACCGAGTAAAAATACAGATTTATAGATGTAAGTACAAATTTAAGGGATTTTTATAAATACGTGAGTTTATTTGAAAAAAAGGGTCAAAAGTGTAGTGAGCTAAAGAAGAGTTAATAAAATCATAGATTATGACTATGAACTAGTGTGATAGGATTTATAAAAGCACGAGCTCATCCATGAGGAAATAACATAAGAACACATATTTGAGGGAAAAAAAGTAGACTTATAAAGGAATGCACAAGCTCAATATTCTAAAAAAGAGCACCCTACGAAAGAGTAAGAATGTGCTCTCCGTTAATGAGAGGTGATGATAAGTTCGAAGGTCCACCAAGAGACATGAGCTCATTCTAAGAAGAATCACTCCATGTTAAGAGCAAACTTGCACCATAGAAAAGGGTAGAACATCTCAAAAAAGCTAATGAGCTCAGCGTAATTCTTGCCTGGCTCCCAAACCCTAGAACATAGAGTACTGGAGGTAGTCAACATATTTGAACAGGTTTATCCTTTATCTTTAGTAAGCCATCAACCATTGAAAATCATTCTTCACCAACTCTCTGAGGGATATGTACATATATATCTTTAAGCACGTGTGTTAATACTATACTCCACATCTAGGTGCGATATAATCCATCTAACGTGCAAATAAAGCAATCATATTCCCCTTCTATCAAATAAAAAAGAAGTTATAGCTATTGACTACTTTCTCTACTTAACTCCACCCATTCCAGCGTTCTATTCTAACTCGACGAATAAATCCTAGAAATCAGAGAGCATTTCGTAGGTACATATACTAATACACTCAACCGACCTTCCGTACGCCAATTCTCTTGGGCTTCTTTAATCTTAGCAAAAGAAAACATATCCCAAAAATCACTCATAAGAAACCATTATTATAAAACACATTCAAACACCAAATTCATCATGATCTCTCTTTGGGCGTGTGAAATGACAAAAAATCACAAAAACAAAAAGCAGAGGGAGAGAGAGAGGAATGAAAAGATGTGTTTGGAGGGATGATATTATTATGTGTGTGAGGAATCATTACAAGTTTGAAGGTAAACACAAGAATGATGGCACCGAAAGCATCTTCATCCTTATAGGTAAAGCATAACTCTCTTCCTCCAAGGGAACACTTTGTAAATTTTCCTTCAAATTTTCTCACTCACGAGAGGAAAAGAAAAAGAGAGAAGAAAAGTTGTCTCCTTTCCACTGTTTTTTTCTCGTCACCCAAACAAAAGGGTAAGAGGGGAATAGAATTGAGGTCTTTGAGACACTCAAATGCCATCGCTTGGCCTTGGCTTTTGTGATGATTATCGTTCGTTTGCAATTATGAAGCCTTCAACACCATGCATGCCTATGCCTTCTCCTTTTTCTTTCCTTTTGAATCAAAAAAGTTTAAAGTTTTCAAAACCAACACGAGTGGATTTCAATCCAATTCAATTTCATCCCCTTCATCATCAACTCTTCTTTTGATTATCATTTCTTTCGAGCTCAGAAAATTAAACTAATGGAAAAAGTTAATTATATGTTTAATCTTAAAATTCTCTCTTTTTAAGTACAATAAGTGGGAGCGGGAAGTATCGAACTCATGACCTCTTGGTCAGAGACATGTGCAAATTACTGCTGAACTAAACTTATGTTTGCAATAGCGAAGTATCTTCACTATCAACAATATTGATATTTAATTAACTCTTTAGCTTAATTTGGACATGATAATCGGATGGTTAATATATCTTAATTCTAGGTATATATTGATACGATCTTTCATTAGTTAAAAATTTAATGGGATGAAATTAAAATTTCAATTGCTCCACCAAAAGAATTGAATTTCTTCCGAAAACCACATCAATGAAAAAGATTTGATCATGTGCACCAATTTTCTAGTTTTAAAAGAAAAATTTCCCCTTTACAAGTATGCATGATATCGGCTAACTCGAACCAATAGTTTTCTTAACCATCACTTAAAAATGATACCTTTTATCTTCATAATAGCAACATACTTCTCAAATACGGCAATAAAATTAACAAATTTCTATCCAAAGTCATTTTTACTTATATATTATGAATTTTCTCCACTTTTTTTACGATGGGTGTGAAATTATGACATCATTTTCAATATTTTTAGAGAAAAATAAAATAAAATGGAGGGTGGAAAAATTAGAAGCAAAGTGGGAGGAATTGGAAGTCAAAGGTACGTAGAGTGGGCGTGAAAAGGACGCGAGTGGTGTAAAATTCAACGATTAAGATCGGCAACCAATTGACCAAACAATTAAATACCTAACCCTAACATTTAATTCAATTTCCATTTCTCCATTTTGTTTTCATTCACCAATTTCTTACCATTTTCAAACTTAATGCTTTGACTAACAAGAATCCAATATCATCATCTTCACACACACTTGGGTTTTTCTTTTCTTGTTGGTCATTGGTAGAATCTTACGTTCAAACCACGAGAGCGGACTAAATTAATCTAGTTTCATCGATTTGACAATAGAATTGACTAGAATAATCTTATCTTATTGAGATATTATCTAGCGGATTTGATAAGTAAAAGCTATTTATTATATTGTGCATTCAACAACTTCAATTTGACTCTGATCTAAAGTTATAAAAATTGGGTTTATTGTAGTTTAAATTTAGATCTAGGGTCCAATCATAAGGTTTTTTAAATTGAATTGATTCGTATAAGATGGTTTGTAGCATAATTATTATAGATATAATATACATAGCATGATCACAAGATCTAATGAATTGGATCATGTTAAAAAGGAAAGAACAAGAAAAAAGAAAGTAAAAGATGTGGGTAGAAATGAAAATGGGTGTGAGAAAATTACATACTCTAATTAATTAGACCTACCATTTTCCTTATCCGAATTCCTTCCTCCAATTAAATCAAATTTTATTTCTTCACCTTTGACTTAACGCGGAGAGAGAAAGAAGAGTTTCAAAATTTGTCTCTCCAAAAAAGAAAAAAGGAGTTTCAAAATTTGACTATTTTTTTTTAAATTTAATATTTGCGTGTTACATCCAACAACTATAATAATTGGGATATGGTGGTGCTTAAAATTTCAATTATTGGTGAAAAATAAAATAGAGAGGGAAATAGAGAGTTTGGTTGAGGAGAGGGTTGGGGGAATATGCAATGTATTAATTGTTCATATAATAAGTAATAGATGTATTGGATATGATTGAAATGTATCTTCTAAGTCACTGTGAATTATTAATCTTGTTCAAGGAGATTGCTAAGT